TTTTGGAGCATAACGCATACAAACTTTATATATAGAATTTTGTAAATTCTAAAATAGAGTGTTTTTTGGAGATGGTATAAATTACTACGTCAACATCAACTTTGAAAAAGGATGGTAAGAGTTTGATTATCTTAAATAAACGATTGTTACATTTATCAGATACAAACAACAAACCAGTTAGCTTACCAAAAAAAAAAAAACAGCTTGTTAAAAAACACTTGTTAAGAATGCTTTCGTGCACTATTTCTTTCTTTTTAATCCCAATTTGCTTAATCCAAAGATTTTTTAGCACTCATGAGATGTTGAGAAGTATGCAAAGGGGTGGTCATTGATATATTCTGTAAATAAATACAGAAAGATAGTCTATAATTGAAAAAGATCCAACAAAGCAATCAACCAATGAAATCCAAGAAGATTATAAAACTATAACATAGTTATACAAAAAAAAAAGATTCGAAACCAAAAGGGAGGTTTGCCTTTTCAATCGAGGAGAGGGGCTAAGTAAAGGTCCATCCAATAAGGGGTAAGCTTCAAGTAATGCCACTATGACAATGACACATAAATAAATAAATAAAACGTCTATTGGTAAGAGTTTCTTTCTCACGTCAACAAAAAGTGAGAAACTCTTAACTTCATCCATACTTCCAAGCATCTCAAGAGACGGTCCTTCACACAAAGGCATCGCCTCCTTTTATGCTTCTAGATGCTCATCTACCATTCTCGACCCGTTACTAGTAGATACCAAAAAAAGTAGTCAAATGATGTGGAAAGGTAATTACAAGGTATCAGCTAACATGGCAGGGATTTTGGCTCTTAGTTCATCCGTAACTTGACTTGGTTCGTTTTGGCTCTTATCTTCAAGAGCATCTTTACTATAAGACTTTTCAACACTCTCCACTGCCATTGTTTTCTCATCTTTCTTTACGCGTTTACTAGGCTTGTGTGTTGTGTCAATGACCATATTCATTGTTTGAAGAGACTCTGTTCTTTGTGTCTACTCGATCTGTGTAAGCAACGCTCATTGTCAGATGAATCAAGATGCTTATCATGCTTCTTAGATATGTGATGATGGTGATAACAATCTCAGACAAAAGAGATTGAATGCTCAAAGAGCTTATTGAGACATAACAGAAAGTGATAAAGACATAGT